TCCCTATTGTAACAATCTGGCAATCTTTATTGTTAGAAATACAATGTTCATCACTGAAAGAATTTAAAGTGCACTACAGTAGTTAAATGGTGTTTCACTGGCCTGAAGTCTCCTTGTGTCTTATCCATCTTTATGATGACCTCTCTAGATATTGGCTGCTACCACACTACAGAATTAATGCAGTTTAATACAGCTTTAACTGTCATGGCTCCATCCTGTGGAATCCTAGGATTTGTAGTTTGTTGTGGCACCAAAGCTCTCTGAGGCTAAATATCTCACAAAATTTCAAATCCCAGAATTCCATGGCATTGAGCCATGGCAGTTAAAGCAGTGTGAGACTGCATTAATTCTGTAGTGTAGATGCAGCCTATAGATGATATAGGGATCATTCCACATCTTCTCCTCACCTCCACTTTATTATCTCATTGCTAGAAAAGTGAGGCTAACATACAGCCCGTTTGAGGTGGCACAGAGCCACCCAAGAAAGCAGAAGATTGGGCCTGCGGCAACCCCACACTGCAGCCCAAATCCTTCCTTTTGTTGCCTCTAAAGAGCAGCAAAATCCTGCTCCTTTTAGGAGCGGTGCCGTGACTCTTTGGCACCCTTTTGGCGCAGCACGTTTAAACGCTGCACAGGGAGGGTGTCCTGACACCGCGTGGCATGTGTAGGACCGCACGGCATCAGGACAGCATTGGGGTAGCGTTGGGGCATCCGGCGTGCAGCTGCCCCACCTCAACTCCACCCCCAGGCCGGCCCTTTGGGCCAGTCTACAATGGCCCTAAGTCCTGGTCTTTTATGACCCCGCTTAGCCTAGCTTAGTTTATAACCCTTAGACAGTTTTCCCCTCTCTAATGGAGTTTGTTTTCTATAGCCATTGGAGTCATTGCTCCTTAATCATAATAACCACCACACACACACATGCATGCATGGTCTGTCAGTAATCACATGCCCATTACTGTGGTAAAGCACTTGCAACCTACAGGTTCCCCCTAAGTTTACTACCCTGGGCTCCCTGGTCTACTCTTCCCTAGGGGTGTGGAGAAAAGGGGCCTGGAGGAGGAACAAACCAAACTGTCCCTTTCACCATGTACACAGGATGAAGCAGATCCACAAGGATCACATACCCCTAGAGTGGGCATATAAGTATTCCAGCATTTCATTCCCACTATGGCTAATCAGATGCCAATGGAAGCCAAAATGCTGCATATGAGGGCAATAGTAACCCACACACACACTCATGTTCCTTAACAACTGGTATAGAAATGCATATTGCTGTGATACTAAAGATAAGATACAGCCATCATGACTACGGAGTTTATCATACAGGGCTTATCCCATGCAGAAATGGCATTTAAAATGGGAAAATCCCGCAAAAGCAGGATCATATTCACATGATGTCGGGCATTAATGAGCACAGAAAGTGGACAAAATCAACCTCTTTTTACTTTTGGAATTCTCCCAAAAGTAAAAAGAGGCCAATTTTGTCCACTTTCTATGTGGGTTATTTTCGCGTTAATGCTCAATGCCCCGAAGAGTCTGAAAACAATCCCGCTTTTGCAGGATTTTTCCTGGATGTAAATCTCATTTCTGTACAGGATTTAGCCTCCCATGTGATAAACTCCTACCTACCTGCCATTAATAAGCTTATCATCCATTAATTTGTCTAATTTTCTACATCCAAGTAGGCAGCCATCACTCCAACTTGTGCTAGCAAATTCTATACTGTAACTGTGGGTACTGTAAATAACTCCCTTTAATCAATCCTGCATCTTCCCCCATTCAGCTTCATTGGGTGAATGAATCCAGAGCTTAGAGTGTTCCTTTTTAAAAGGAACAAATTACCTCATTCACTACTCTGGTCATTCAATAGGTTATTACTACTGTTACTGTAGTTCAAGAGAGTTACTTGTTGAATTATCCATTATTAACAAATTATCATTATGGCTACTAAATGCTCTCTGATTCCCACAAGTAGTCAATTCAGATATCGCTAATTAGATATTCTAAGAAAAATGTAAAAGACATTACAAAGCAATCCATCCTGGCCTCAGTATGAAGCAGCCATCCATATGGTCCTTGCTACTCTCTCCCCGTTCGCCCATACTGGGTCAACACACATATATAGCAATGAGTAACAGGTAAATAGCCTTTGAATAGTAGTGAATTGCGGCCATGGCTGTTTCTGGGGGAAAAAAAAGTAACTCTATTCAAGCTTGTCGCTGTAAAAACAAGTTAGAAATTATTTTTAAATTATTTATTTGTTTATTTAAATATTTATATCCTAACCTT